TTGGATGTATTTCTCTGGTATACAGCCAAGGAGGAAAACTCAAGCACAGAGCAGATGAGCAATACGAAGAGTTAAGGGGAAGGTGGTCTTTGATTAAGGAGATAACACAGTCTGTACCAAAGACAACAAATTTGGAAAACAGAATCTTTGAATTCTCTTCTTGACCCTGATCCCAGCCTACACTGTAAGCATACCCCCAACTCCGTTTCACCTCTGTATCTTTTCTCACCTTGCTTTGCTCACTGTAACCACCCAGGGGTTCTCTCCTGCTTTCTGTTACACTCTGTTTAACAGAGCAATACTGCAGTGCTGCTACAACTATAAAATGCCTGGAAGGCTTTCTCTGACAGAATTTTTTAGTAACATAAGATAAGCTATGACTTTGTTATTTGCATTTAGTACACACGCATTCTATAAAAAGGATACTGGAGGGTTTTTCTATGGAAGACACTGAATTTCTTTATGGAAAGAAAAAAAAAAACCTCAGATACTGAGTTCACTGAAGTCCTGAGTAACCTGCTGTGTAAATCAGAGGATTACATGCACACTGTTCTCTAGGGCCATTTCTGTGGAAGGCATTCTAAGCTTCCAGAGACTACAATGAAGAAAGTTCATAGGCTGGTCAAAATAGTCACCAAAACTGAGGAAAGCTCTTGCATTTATAGTATAGTTCAGGAAAACCTAGAAATTGGTCATAGCATTATTGTCTGCTACTAACCTATTGCTACTAACCTATTGTCTGCTACATACATATTACTGTCTGCTACTAACTTCACAGTTCCTGGGACACTAGCAAAAAGATTCACTTAAATACATAGGGTTCTGTCTTGGGTTCAGCCATAACAGTTATTTTTCTCCTTCTTAGTAGCTGGTGCAGTGCTGTGGTTTTGACTTTCAGCCTGAAAGGGAGCAATGCTGATAACACACTAGTGGTTTTAGTTGTTGCTAAGTAATGTTAACTCTGATCAAGGACTTTCTCAGTCTCAAGCTCTGCCAGGGAGGAGGGGAAGCCGGGAGGAAGCAGAGACAGGACACCTGACCCAAACTGACCAAAGAGGTATTCCATAACACGGCACGTCATGCCCAGTATATAAACTGGGGGCAGTTACCTGGAAGGGCTAGATCACTGCTCAGGTCAGGCTGGGTATCGGTCAACGGGTGGTGAGCGGTTGTATTCTCTTCCCTTGTTATTTCCCTCACTGTTATTTTTATTGGTGGCAGCAGCAGTGATCTGTGTTATACCTTAGTTACTGGACTGTTCTTATCTCAACCCGTGGGAGTTACATTCTTTCGATTCTTCTCCCCATCCCTCTGGGAGAGGGGGGAGGAAGAAGGAAGGGAGTGAGTGAGTGGCTGCATTGTTCTGAGCTACCACCTGGGCTACGGGTTCCACAACAGGTTCTCAACAACATCAACACAATTTTAACACAGCTTGAGCGAAGCTCCATGGTCTTCCCATAATGCTAAATTCAGTAAGCATCTCTGAGTGGGTCACTTTGTCCATAATGTGGTGGACAGTTTCTGCAGGCTGTCTGCTGCCTGCTATATAAGATGCATTTATCTGGTGAGAAATGCATTTATCTGGTGAGAAATGAAGGAGGATCATGAGGTGACAGAAGATAACACGACAGTTACACTTCACTGCTGCAAACATCTTTTTGGCAACCTAGGAACAAGGTGCAGACCTTTTGTCAATCAGTTTTCCCTTTAAGACACAGATCAAAGAAAACATTGCACCACATTCTTTCCTTTCCCTTTGTTTTTTGTCTTTCATCCATTTTGAAATCTGTATAGGGATAAGAAGCAGGTTTCTACTTACATGACAATGTCTGTGTGACTTGAGAACCCGTTTTGCATTTTCAAGTGGTGTGTCTGGTTAGCAGCTCAGCCACTTTCCACCGAGGAACCCACTACAGTGCCTGTGGTGTGGGTAAATTGCCTCTGAATACTCTGCTCGCTGCTGCTTTCCTTTATTAGTGGCCTGGCTGCTCCTGTCCAGCAGCACAGCCCCACCTCATTCTCAAGGTTGTTATTCTGAGAGCACTATTTTTCCTCTGTAAAGACTACTCAGCAATTTTTATGCATAAAATTCTCTGTGAAGAAGCATAACAAAAATCAAAGGCTTTTATATGATTAATAGAGCTGTCAGGACCTTTCTGAGATTTAACTTCCTCATTGTGAAAGTTCAGCTAACTAGTTTCAGAATAAAAACCCACATGTCAGGTTCCTGACGGCAGTTTCCTGTGGAAGTATCCACAGATGGAGCTTGGTGCAGGCTTCCCTGAGGGAGGAACATGGTCGCGGGCTCGGCGGGCTGTGGGGCCTTCCTTAGGGCACTGCAGCTGCAGTCCTTATGATGGGCCTTCCCTGAGCGGCTCTGGCTGCGGGGCTCGTCTCTGAGGGGTGTGGGAGCGGGCACAGAGTGCAGCCCTTCATCATGTGTCCAGTTCTAGGTTCCTCAGCACAATACAGACAAGGAGCTACTGGAAAGGGCCCAGCAGAGGCCACAAGGATAATTAGGGGTCTGAAGCAGCTCTCTTACGAGGAGAGATTGCAGGAGCTGGACCTGTTTAGTCTGGAGAAGAACAGACTGAGGGGATCTCATCAGTGCAGATCAGTATCTCAGAGGAAGGTGCCAGGAGGACGGTGCCAGACTCTTTTCAGTGGTGGCCAGCAACAGGATGAGGAGCAATGACCATAAACTAAACTACAAGTTTCACCTCAACATGAGGAAAAACTTTACATTGAGGGTGGCAGAGCACTGGAACAGGCTGCCCAGGGGGATTGTGGTATCTCCCTCTGCCTTGTCAGGGGGGCTGGGCTGGATGATCTCGACAGGTCCCTTGCATTCCTATGATTTTGTGATAAATCACATTATGGCAGTTGAAAGCAGGGCTGAAGTCATATGGATGCATAGGAGCTGAGGCAGAGTACAGCCACGAAGAGTGTTTACTATATTGAAGCACTATGAAAATCGTAGTATTCAATATAATATATATATATAAGTGTTTGAATTTTTTAATGCCAATAAAGTAGTTTGAATCACCAATCCAATTAAAAAAAAAAAAAAAAAAAGAAGGAACCATTCAGTGCAGACAGGCTGTATTACAGAGACATCACTGGCCAGGAGGCAAAGGCTATATCTGAGTGCTATTTGGAAAGGGATCCACAGTGTACCCTTACATATCTGAGCATTAGTCCTAAAGCAGGAGAAAGTCTGAATTGGTTATCAAATGATGAAGGAAAATTCAGAGTTAGCCTACCTCCTATGCTTTATAACATTTAAAATAGTTTTAATTTTTCATGTGAAGGCTCTTCTAGGTGTCGGAAACTCCAATGGTGGTAGAACAGGAGCAAAGCCCCTTTCTGGCTTGCCATCATAATCAGACTGTTTCTCCCTTCTCCCCAAGGCCCCAAAGCCACAGGTTCTTCCTTGGTTTTAAACGCAAAAAGCCAGGCAAAGTTGCCCATCTGTGTGGCACAAATTCTTCCATGAAAAGCAGTGGTCAGTTATGATAATTTGCTGCCCAGTGCTCAGCCCACACAGCCAGGTCTCTAGCAGCCTCTCCACTGATGTGCATGGAGCTGCACAGCAAACTGCTTCCTGAACACCTTTTCTGTATGAGATTGCTGCCAGTACTAGTCGTCATCTTTACCTACTCTCTCCACTTGCTGCGCGTCTGTCTTCTCACTAGTAGAGGGTGATAAGTTATCTAACAAATCTGTATGTTCCTCTGTTGATCCCTATCCTGACCTAGCATTTAGGCGCTGGCTCAATGAAACAAGACTGAGGTGTGTATGCAAAGATCTGCATGAAAGTGTATAGTCTGTGTTGCCTGCTTCCTTTTCCTAATTGCTGCAGTGTCTGCAGCAGTTCTGTTGAATAACAATAAGAATTCCTGTGATTTAAACTCCAACCAGTAATTTTTAAACCTTTAAAAAAACTATTTAATATTTTTTGCTTTGCCCAAAGGTATTCTGCGAGTCATCAGGCCTATACTACTTTTTCAAGTATATGCTTGCTATTATTTTTACCTAGATTTCAAACCACATCCTCAAATGCAAAGGTATGTAAATCAGCAGTTCTGCTAAGAGATTTACATACAAAGTTTAGGGTAACCTTCCCGGCATATTTTGCGGCCAATTCTCCACTGCCTGGCTAGAACTGGGAGCTTTCTTTTCTTTCATATAAAGCAGATAAACATATTAATTAAGCATTTAGCTTTAACACAGAGGTGTTAGAAATATCTGCAGAAGGAAGACCCAGATAATTGAAACTGCATAATAACATTCAGCTTAATGAAATGTTGATGTTGTAACAATAGGAAAACATTGCAGAGTATCCATATGACAACACTGAATAATCTGATATTATAGCATTAAAAAGCATCCACTTGATTAGAGGCCAGGAAAAAATTCCCTTGGAAACAAACTCTATGCTCAATAGGCTGTTCCCACTGCTGGATAATGAAACTGCTGCATTAAAACTGCCCACAAAACAACAACATGGCACTAAGATATAAATATTTTTGCCAAGCACAAAAAAATCAGTGCTATCTAGAATAACCCACACTCTGAGACAGCATCCCCAGCTCATACATTCCTTCTCCATCCCCTTAGGAGATGGCAGCCTTCTCACTGAGCAATGCCAGAACACTAAAGCTAGCAGTGTTCATACCATGACTGTGTTTTGTACTACAGTCTAACCACAGTCTCAAACTTACTTGGCCATGGCTGCCTCTGAGCAACACAAGAGGAGAAGCAGAGGCAGAAAGATGAAGTTGCCCTCAGCAGCAGCAAAGTTCAGGTCATCTTGTCCTCTGCCCTTTCATCATCCTGCTGCTCCCCGTAGTTAACGCCAAGGCAGTAGAGCAGGCACAGCACTTACAGAATGTCCAAAAGAAGTTACATTAGAATGGTAATGCCATGTTTCTCCAGCTCATTTAAATAGCAAAGGACTTACAAATGTGTTTTTTTTCTCATCGTCTTTTTAATGTAAATCAAGAACAACTTCTCTAAATTAGATGTAGTTACACTGGTACAAAGCTAATCTTGAAGAACTGTGAAAACCACATGGTTATAATCCAAACAGAAATTTTGTGAAACCCTTGTCTTATTTTTAATTTGTATCTACTAGGCAAATCTCCTGCTAGGATAACAGCAGACAATTTGGAGGAAGAATTGACTCCCACCCAGACAGGACATAGGTAAGATCTCATCAGAGCATTCACAGAGCCAAAAAAAAGGCACAGAAAAAAGTGAAACAGAGTACTCAGCATGGCTTGTCCCTGTATATTTGCCTTATTAACATATAGACGTATCTCTCAGGCAGGTAGTTTATACAGAGGTTCATTATCTTACACAGTGCTCATAACTCCTTCTACTTTTATCTTAGACTATAAAAGCAGCTGCTCAGTGTTGATTCTAAAGCAGACGTAAAAAGTCTGTAGTATTTTTAAAATGTTTTCTAAAATAGCCACCAATTTTACTCCCAAAGGACTGTATTACCGCTGGGTTAAATTCAAGTCTATTTTGCATGAAGACAGCTCCCTTGAAATCAGTGGGATTGCATCCACTTAAGATATGGCTGATGTCCTCAAACCACAGCTCTGTAGTGCCATTTGCATCAGGAACAGAGTATGGCAAGAAGAATCACTCCATTTTACCTGTCCATTTTCCATTTCCTGAGCTTCATGAAGGCTTGCTAAAGTTGCTGTCCGATTCTCCTCCAGCTGTGGACATGGACTCCACATAGTGAACAGCCACCACAGACACACCAAGAGCTGAAGGCAGGAAGCGCCTTGTTTGCAGGTACAGAAAAGGGATACATGGAAGTCTCCTTCTTAGACAGTCACGTTTGAATCTGTATGTAATTTGATTCAGAGAGTGAGACTGACACAGTACAACTGGGATATTCAGTTGCTTAAATATAAGTGTCTGATACCATTTCAGATAACCTGTAGTAATGAGGGGGTTGGTTTCTATCAAGTCTTATATGTTGTATTAACCAGCTTCATTAGACAGCTTCCTGTAGGCAGCTAAATCCCACATTTCTTGACCACTTGTGACAATCTTTCCCATCTAAGAAGCTGTCCATCTGTTGTACAAAAACTGGGCGGGTCTAGTGCTGTACAACATGCATTTCACAACTTGGGGAAATAAACCTTGAAAACAGAATGGTGCAGTCTTCTAATGTTATTTGAAATAAGGAATGAAGAAAAATTATGAAAGAAAGATCAGTTTGGCTGCTTTGTTTTTTTCCTTTGTAGAAGTACTGGAGATTATATGTGAGGTAGATCTTTCAGACATGACTTACTTTCAAAACTAAGTTAGAAGAGTTTGTAGGGAAAATGTGGTTCCAAGCAAAACAAAATACATAGATAGACTAGGTAGTTTTGAGGGAATAAGGCAATAAATCAAATACCCATAAATAGCACTCAGAATCATGTACCATACAAAGTGACCTAAAGCAGTACAGAAAGAAAACACATTTGGAAAGCATAAAACTCAGAAACCAGACAATTTCAAGAGGGCAGAGAGTGCATAATTTATAAGTGAGGTAAAACTGCAGTGATAGCAATAAAGAATTGAAAAGTAGAAAACTAGAGTTTTTCATTTTTAAGTTTTCACATAAAATACAATAACTCTGCTGTCATCAGGGGTGTGGAGGATACAAGCAAGACAAGTGCACAGCCTTGTGCTGCCTGAAAGCAGCTTCTGGTGGGTACTCACTGATAAAAGCACAAGAGTAATGTAATGTCCAGTCCAGCAGCTAACTTTCCACTGAAGGTACTTCAGTCATTGTTAATCCTGACATTACCAATGTCATGTAGCTCTTATTTTATCTACCTCAAGTTGTTGCATACAATTTTGTCAAAGACATGGGCAAAAGAGCTGCTGGTTTTGAAAACAATGAAGTGCAACTCACATGATATTTTAATGGACAGCTCATTGCCTTCACAGTAATGTCCATGACAAGTGAAAGGCACAACAAATAAACCCCAGCAGTTTCTACCTGGTTTCATTCTTTTCCCTGTTCACACATTCCCCTCTTCACACAGCCCATACTAATATTGCTTTCCAGTTTAGGGTGCAAGTATTTAAAACTTCCTGCTGTAGCTGATCTGTAGCACTTGACATTTTCAGGCTACTTTGGATGCATGTTTGACACGACTTTGAAATAGCAGTGTAATAGGGATGTGAAGAAATCAACTCAGCCTGACTCTACCACACCAATGGGGACAGCAGAAGGAAATAGAGTGAGAAAGTTCATGGTTGGAGATAAAGACAGGAAGATGGCTTACCAATTATTGTCAGAGGTGAAACATACTCTACTTGGGGAAAATTAATTTACTGCCAATTAGGATAGATTTAGGTAGCAAGAAAAGAAAAGACAGACTTCAAAGCAAGACCTTTCCTTCCTGGCTGGAAGTCAGGGTGGCGTCCACCACAGGACAGCCCCAGCCTCTCCTCAGAGACCCTTGAAGTCCTGCTGTCAACACCTTGCTTTTTATACCCAGCACAAAGGCATACCTCACAAGCCTTCTCAATCAGACACAGCAGGGGTTTGATTCTTTTTTTGCAGGTCACACCTGAACACAAAAACAATGCAGCAAGCCAACAGCAAGAAATTGCACCCAGGCACTGCACAAACTGCACTACATTCCTCAAGTTCCACTATAGGTCTTGAGTTGGAGCAAGTGAACCCCAGGATCCCAGCCTCCCACCACTGCTCCACAATTCTACAAACCTGAAAGAAGCAAAACTATTCCACAGTACACATCTGCAAAAATAACTGTCTTAACTAAAGCTTAGTGGATTTTTTTGTTGTTTTTTTTTTATTTTAAGCATAGTACAAAAGAGGCAGGATATTTCATGTGAGTCCAGGAGAGAAGTTCTCAACTCTCTACCTCCATTTAATACCTTTCAATATTAGCTTGACATTGACAATGCCAACCTAGCTGTGCACATCATTTGCAGTTAACAAAATGCTACTTTTCTTTGTAAGACACCTTTCAAGCTTTATCATCTTGGGGGGGAAAAAGAGCTTTTATACTAAGAGGGGAAATGGTGCTGGCTGGCAACCTAGTAATCACTGCCAGTATGAAAAATAGGAGGAAGCAAAAAAGCTATATTATCAGCAGTGTACAGAGGGGAAAAAAGCACAGCCATGACAGCATTTGAACTACTAGTAGTGCCTGTTTCAGGGAGAAGATGGAGCCTGGGATATCTATCAGTGAGTTTGTATGATTAACACAACTATAATTTGCTTTATAACACAACTGCAATTCATACAGGTTATCATGAGAAACCTCAAGCTAAGATTTGCTGTGTTACATACTCACAAACAAGGAAATGAAGGTAGCACTGAGAGTGTGGGCTTTGGTGCTCTGGGTTTCCCTCAACGCAAGGATTTCCTCCTCGCCCTGCTCCCATCTATGCATTGACTCCTTATAGCATTCAAAGCAGAGAGAAAGATTACAATGAGATAGAGGTAGAGAGATTTTACTTCAGTGTCACTGATGATTCCCATCACAATTACTGCCAGCATGAGAGGGAATAAAGAATACCACTCAACTTTTATGTACTGCCTCCAATGGTCATGAGGTTTAGGTATCTGAGTGTGTCATGTACCCTCCATGTGAACACTTTGTTTTGACCCTCCAGCATTTTCTATTTCAGCCATGTTTCCTTTCTCAACACCTCCCATCATAGACTGAGATAGCTATAGTTAGGAGGCTGTATGAAAAGGCCAGCTAGTTTTAGTAGCTTTTATTATAAGCAAAGCAATTTGTCGGAGCAATCCCAGCCACGGCTGCAGGTTGGACAGTGAAGAGATTCAGAGCAGCCCTACGGAGAAGGACTTGGAGGTGCTAGTCAATGAGAAAATGAACGTGAGCCAGCTTCAGTGTGCGCTTGCAGCCCAGAAAGCCAACTATATCCTGGGCTGCACCAAAAGGAGCGTGACCAGCAGGTCGAAGGAGGTGATCCTGCCCCTCTACTCTGCTCTTGTGAGACCTCACCTGGAGTATTGTGTGCAGTTCTGGTGTCCTCAACATAAAAAGGACGTGGAACTGTTAGAACAAGTGCAGAGGAGGCCACAAGGATGATCAGGGGGCTGGAGCACCTCCCATATGAAGATAGGCTGAGAAAGTTGGGGCTGTTCAGCCTGGAGAAGAGGAGGCTGCGTGGAGACCTCATAGCAGCCTTCCAGTATCTGAAGGGGGCCTATATGGATGCTGGAGAGGGACTGTAGTGATAGGTCAAGGGGTAACAGCTAAAACTTAAACAGGGGATGTTTAGATTGGATATAAGGAGGAAATTCTTTCCTGTTAGGGTGGTGAGGCATTGGAATGGGTTGCCCAGGGAGGCTTTGAATGCTCCATCCCTGGCAGTGTTCAAGGCCAGGTTGGACGAAGCCTTGGGTGGCATGGTTTATTGTGAGGCGTCCCTGCCCGTGGCAGGGGGCTTGGAACAAGATGATCCTAAGGTCCTTTCCAACCCTAACCATTCTATGATTCTATGATTCTATAATTTCTTCTGCTGGGTAGTGGTTTCTCCTATGAATCTTTGCCTGAGTCACAGTTTCCAGAAGTGATGTAATTGTTCACTTTCCTCCAGAAGTGGGGGCACTGAGGAACTAAGAGAAGCAGAAATAACATCGACACCTAGTGCCACTTACTGGATTTTCACCCACTCTTCTGCATGCTGTGCCAGCCTCTGCATCAGGAGTCATTTGCTGCCAGCCAAGATGACAGACAAGACCCAAGAGGTTGTCATTGCAAAGGGTCTGGCTCTGTAAGCTGAATGCAGAAGCAGACTTCCAAGCTAGCCCTGCTGCATTCCACCTCTGGGTGAGGAGAAGTGGCAGCAGTCAAGGAAGATTAGGAGGCAAACAACTGCCTGTGAACCTTGTATCCTGATGCATCACCATCAGGCAGCTTTCATCTTTGTGAAGGTCTGTTTGAAACAAAGCCAAGAAGAAAGCTGTTGACAGTTGCTTTTGTATTTTGGCTTAGCACTGAATTAAAAGTCAAGGAAGCAGGAGCAAAGTATTCAAGGAAAGAGCTGCTAAATGAGACACTTGTCAAACTAAGTTAATTTCTGGCCTGCCCACTTTGACAGCATCTCTTTAATCACATACCAGAACAAGGAGATGATCGGTGCCACTGAATTAACATCTAATTTATTCTGAAATATTTAACATAGCATTGTATAACTCTGACTGATAAAATATGACTTTGACCAAGCCTTTTGGAATATTACATTGCTATGCTGGAAAGCCCCAGACAAAGTATTTTGTCATGAAATGCTTGTGGTGGACTGCAGGGGTCTGAGGCGGTTATTCCTTCTCTGAGATAGAAGACATGCAGTACAGAAACCAGCACAGCAGCCAGTGCAACAGCATCTTAGTTAAACCCTGCATTAGTTCCTTAGTAAAACAAAGACCCTGAGAGCAAAAAAGGAGCTTTCAAAGCACATCTTTGATTTCAGGCAATGTGTGTGAGTCCGTGGAAAAATCTACGCATAAAGCTCATAAGTTCTGAATGGTGATATAAATTTGTCTCTATAGGAATCACTACATCACTGGGTCCCTCTGACTTTGCTGAGCACTGGTGTGAAGAAGGGGCTGGCCCACCTGAGTTACAGCATGATCACAGCACAGAGAAGGGGCTATTAGAACTCAGTGATCATCTGGCTAGCATATATCACTTTAGTATCAGGTATCTTGCTGGAAGACAGAAGAAAATACAATACAAAAAATTCTTACTCTCAATAGGAGAGATGACAAAAGAGAGCTAGAAATGGTCCCATAAGGAAGAGGAGAGAGAAGGACTGTGTGGGGCCAGGAGCTCAGGGAACACTCTTTAATGGATTAGAAGGGGGTTTAGAGCAGCTCAGGGACCTGCAGTAGCCAAATGAGTTGCCCAACTGCCTAAACACAGCTGGGCAGTCACAGGCATGGGCAGAAGTGCAGTGCTAGGGAGGAAGTGCCTGGAGAAAGCAAAGCACTGCAGCTATCCAGCCAGCCAGCCAGGAGCAGGGACTGAGGGAGGGCACAGTCTGGGGGCTCCCACAGTGTATGTGGGGGTGTTTTATTGGTCTGGTCCTTTCTGCCTATGTAGGCAGTCAGGCCATTTCCAAAGATATCACATGACTGTAAAGGCAGATGATACACTTTCTTATTGCAGGTGACATTATGTCATGTAGGAGATGTGTGGAATAGAAATTATACAAAAGCTTACAGCTCTATGTTGTCTATTTTTGTTACAGCAACTTGAAATATTAGTGAACTGGTCAGACTGCAATGTGTTCACCTTTTATATCTTAATTGTAACCTCACTGAGAAAAAGTGCCAAGAAGCAATAGAAGAGTATGTGAACTGCTCAAGTTTGTCGGAGTTAGGGACTAGATTGGGGGTTCATGTCATCCCACACATTTTAATTTACTTGTCAAGCTCATGTTAGGAATTTTGATAACTTTTCATAGATTTTACTAGCTGTTGAAGTACTGTCTGACAGCTAGGTATCTGGGACAGACACTGTAAAAACAATACACGGAGCACACCCACAGAGATACAGTCTCCCACACTCCCAGAACAGCATTTTCTTTTCCCAGCTGAGACTGCTGTCTCTTTTGGCAGAGACCCTTTTCACAGCCACACAGCCCATTGTGACTGAGGTACTGGACTAATAACTAGGTACAGGCTGGGATTTAACAAAGGAAGACTGTGACAGCAAAGAACAATCTGAACAGCGGAGACAAGCGTAGGAAAACAGAAGTTTTCTCAACATCAGAGAAGGGAATACTGCTGTGGAGCCTCGAGGTTTAAACCCCACCCTAAGAAATCAGTCTTTTTCCTTAGATCTGGTAATGACATGATTGAGAGGACTGGAATAGCACCTGACCATCAAAAGCTTTGCTGGCCAGCAGTGAAAAGCACATTCTGCATATTCATGCACCATGAAAGAAAACATGGAAGGAAATGTAAAAAAAATCTGCTGAGAACCGTTTATGTTCAGATTGGAAATACAGTTAGTCTGTGACAATAAATACCTCCAATAGAATCATAGAATAATTAGGGTTGGAAAGGACCGTAAGATCATCTAGTTCCAACCCCCCTGCCATGGGAAGGGACACCTCACACCAAACCATTGACAGAAAGCCTACCTAGAAAATTGAGCTTAATTCCTTATACAAAGCTTTTGAACTTGCCTTATACTTATTCTGCATTATACATATTACACATTCATTTGCCCAGCTATAAATAACACAGGGTAGACGGGAGAGGTTTTGAGATCTGAGCTGGTAGAACCTGCACCAGAACCACCCATCAGCACTGGGAGAGGTGCAGAGGATCTTATTCAAGGAGGCATTTTAATTCATTCTTTTCTGAAGGATAATGAATAAAACTATCCATTAATCTAAA